GCCCGTGGCTCGAACCCCGACCCCACAACCTCACGATTACGAGTCCAGTAGTCTAACCACTAGGCCACCGACACCACATATAATTACCAGTACAATACATAGCATAATTATTGTAACAGCCAAGCCTGCTCAAACGATCACCAGTTCAAGACAATCACCAGAATGCAACAAGCGACCACGTACCTGTTCCCCGCTTGCGTTTATTTCTATAATTATAATTAGTATTGCCTTTATATAGCGCATATCATGGCTCAAGAGCATGCTCTATACGTTTTACAACTATTATTACCCCAGCAGACGCCCTGACAAAACTCAGAAATATTCTCAGCTTCCCTGGAAGCATACAGTGCACGCTGCGGATTTCACGCGCTCAAACACTATCAAACTGAAAAGATCGTTCACTGTCTATAGCCGGGTACCCATTTCCACCTGGGTGAAGTGAGGAAAATTTATGCAAAGTGCCTTTCCCAAGGACACAACGTCGGACCCCTGACGGGATTCGAACCCCCGACCTTACGGTTGCGAGTCCGAGAGCTTAACCACTAGGCCACCGACGCCACATATTATTATTACAAAATATATAATTAATAATATAATACTAAAACTGTCCATGACAACCACCTGTCAACGATAACCACATTTTCCCCTCGACAATAGTTGGTCGTCCTGGACAGACTTTAGTACTCACACTGTCGCCAGCTAACTCTCCATAACGGTAAAAGGGCAGAAATTCTCCGATTTGTTGAACAAACCAACAAACTAGCAGAAGTACCTGTCTTGTACGTCGAAAAATTCCCAGAAAAAAGCTCGATCCAGCAGGCGATAAGACTCACAACTTACTGAAGTCCACCCAGAGGACGCAGACAAGTCTGAATGTAACACAGGTGGGAAGAGGGAAGGTAAAAAACAATAATCGAAACTAACGCCACGCCACAGAATATGGAAAAGATCAAAATGCGCAAGGAACTTCCCTGAAAGAGTAGAAACGTTATGTTTAACAGGTGGTTATACAGAAAGCATGCTCCCCCCCCC